TTTAATGTATATTATGTATTTAAAATTATTTCTTTGAAATGCTTAATATAAATGTTTTATTATTTATCTAAATATTTATTATTTGCCAATTTAGTTTTAGTTACTTATTTTATGTTAAGTAATAGTAAAAAAATTAAAAAAATAATTAAATATTAAAAAACATATATATATATAATTTAAATACATATTTAAACATTTGTAAAAAAAAAAAAAAAAAAAGGAAAACGCAATTAAATTTGAAAATTAAAATATCAATCAAATTATTTTTTTGCAAAGCAATTAAAATAAATTTGTAAATATGAAATAAGCATTATGCGTAAATAATTAAAATAAGCATTTAAACAAAATGAAAAAATGAAAAAGTAAATTAAGTGTTAGAAAAATAATTAAAATATTAAAATAAACGATCAAAATAAGTGTTATTAAAATAATTAAAATAATTAATTACATGTTAAATAAGTAATATGCATAAAGAATTTAAATAAATATATAAACATTTGTGAAATAATAAAAATAAACAATTAAATTAGGATATGAAAATGTCAATTACATTAATTTTTTACGAAGCAATTAAAAGAAATTTGTAAATATGAAATAAGCGATATGCGTAAAGAATTAAAATAAGTGTTTAAACATTAATTAAAAATGAAAAAGTAAATTAAGTGTTAGATAAATAATTAAAATAAGCAATTAAAATATTAAAATAAACGATCAAATTAGCAAATTAAGTATATGAAAAATAGTAATTTACGTTCATTTTGTTTATTCCGTTATCGGTTGGTTATTGCATCTAGTAGCAGTGTGTTAGTATATTTTTTTAATTTTTTTGTTTATCGAACATCATTTGCATAGGGTTCTAATATTTGAAATTTTGCAGAATGAAATATCATCTGGACAACGCTATCAGACAGATCCCTGGTAAAGTTACGTCGAATTGTAACTTTACCAGCTTCGCTTTAGTATTGGATTTGCTGGACGACGATCACACAGATATATTACGTCGATCATGCTTATGGCCATTGTATTCATTGCGTGATGTATAGTGGTCTGGTTATGGCCATTGTATTCGTTGCGTGATGTACAGTGGTCTGGATAGCTGCTGGATGCCCTGTTATGTCGCTTGCTGAAGTCAGTTGACGGAGACGCCCTCCATTTTGATCTTGGGGGCAAGGTAGCCACGTTCTCTATATTTGAGTTTTCCCTCGTCACTAGACTGCGATGTACGGACGATGCAGAGGCAAGGGCCTGTGTTCCGAGGAGTAGGAGGCTGTTGAATGAATATTTTCATTGACAGACGACGGTTACTCTAGCGCAACTAGGAGATGCATTAAGGAGATGTGATCGAATGTCTGATAGGTTGAAGTTAGGCTTGGTGCTTATCATCGAGAGCATACTCCGGTGTTATCACAAGAAGACATCGATTGACATTTTCCATTTGGAGGTTGTTGATGATATTGATGCCTTCAACAACTACCCATGGGGTAGGAGATGTTTTCTTGATACATTACGCGTGTTTAGGAGAGGGTTTTCAATGCCAAAGGGGGATAAGGCCGAGTGCAAGTACGATGCATATGGACTGCCGTTGGCGCTGCAGGTATATGTTTAAATTAATGAATTACCTACACTTTTTTTTATTGAATTCTATACATAATAATTGTAATTGTTTCAGATATGGGTGTACGAGACTGTCCCCATCTTGGCCAGTCGGTATGCGAGGAGAGGAGAGACACGCTATCCTCGGATGCATCACTGGCGAGCACAAGACAAGCCGCTTGCCAGACACTTATTGGCTCTCCTCGACGATCCTGAGGTACGTTTTATACAATTGCTATTTATGTTGTACGTCCTTTTACAATCTGAATACATAGTCATTAACTATGACATATCAAAATGACAGCTTGAAGTTCTCACTAAATTAGCACTGTCGATCGAGGAGGAGAGTCAGTTTTATATTCTCGAATTGCCTCTTTGTACTGCGCATGACGATCAGATGCCTGAGTCCAGGATGGATCGAGATAAGGTATGTCACTGTGCAGGATTTGTTGAATATCGTTTTGATCTTGTAATTAAGTGTTTCACTTGTAATATTTATTTTTTCAGGAGGATCTTTCAGTACTATCTCCGTTAAAGATATCACCTCCACTGAGGAGAGCACGTCCAGCAAGGATGTCACCTCCGCTGAGAAGATCACGTCTAGCTACGCCAGAGGTTCAGATGCTTGAGTCCAGCGTTGATTGAGATAGAGTATGTTACTTAAAAATAATTCTTTGATTGTTGTTTTATTTTATTTGTTAGGTTATTCATTTGTAATAGTTATTTTTTCAGGAGGGCCGTCCAGTATCACCTCCTGCACCTAGTCACCGTGCTTCGACGATTGATTTGTTTGAACTCCTGATGGAGATGAGAGGAGACATGGCAGAGTTACGGGATAATGTCGTGACACTACGAGCTGATGGAACAGTTATGATATGATGTCGCGATGTTACGAGCTGGGTTAGGAGACCTTCATGCTGAGGTTGCAGCGATACGGGGTGACATAGCAGGCCTGCATGGCACGAGCGATTATCGAGATGGAGGAGGTAGCGGAGGGATAGGTCACTATCGGGACGAAGGGGGTGATGGAGGGACTGGTGGCTATCGAGACGGAGGGACTGGCGGTTATCGGGACGGAGGGGGTGACGGAGGGGTCTGTAGTTATCAGGGAGGAGGGGGTCAGATGGGGTATGTTGACTCATCGTGGCCATCAGTTGCTGCATTTGACACGATGGGGATGGAGGAGCGAGAGATGATACCTGTGGTGGAGGGGGTGCCCGTGTAGGATATACATGAGGACGTGGAGGGGGTACCCGAGGAGGAGAGGGTACCGGAGAGGGTGGTGGAGGTGGTACCCGAGATGACGTCACCCGATGCAGAGGGGATACCCGAGGAGGTGGGGGTGCCCGTGCAGGGGATACCTGAGGACGTCGAGGGGGCATCAGAGGTGGAGGTGGTACCCGTGCAGGGGATACCCGGGGATGCCAAGGGGTACCGGAGAAGGATAGGGTACTGGAGGTGGAGGTGGTACCCGTGCACGGGATACCCGGGAATGTCGAGGGGGCACCGGAGGAGGAGAGGGTACCGGAGGTGGAGGTGGTACCCGAGAAGACGCCAGACTCGCCGGGCGTGGTCTTTGTGCTAGAGGAGGTGGTCTCGATAGCGGGTGAGGGGGTCGTCGTGATAGCTGGGGAGATGGAGATTCCCGAGACGCATGAGGAGAGGACGATGGCTGTTGACGTGGTGGAGCGGGTGGTCGGCAAGAGGCCAAAGGTACCATCACAGTACGTTCTTTTTCCCTTTACCGCGGAAGCGAAGAGGAGAAGGTTCGTCGATGGGACGTACCCGAATTTATTCAGGGAGGTGGACCAGGCCAAGTGGAAAGCCTTTGAGACAGATTGGAGAGCACTGCAGCCTGAGTAAGTTTTGTATTTTATATAATTAGTATAGTACGCAGACGCAGACGCTGACACATGTATACTTCTTATAACTAAAAATTCTGTTCTTATTTTTTCAGGGCCAGCCGCACGATTGCTGAGAAGACGATTTCAAATGCTTACAAGTGGTTCCACGATATCGCCACTTCGGGGACTTGGCTCGCCGACGATATAAGTGAAATGAAAATATTGTTATTTATTATGTATGTTCAAAATCAAATTTTTGAATAAAATTCATAGATTAACTCATTTCTTTATTGGTGTTTCTTGATGTAGCACATCGACTTGAGCATGGATTTGCTACGAGAGCGTGCTGAAAGACATCCAAAATCGTTCAACATTCTTGGCAGACTCATATTGAACATCGAGTTCATCCGTGCCGTTGACATTGAGTACCAGTCGTTCCAAGCTATGGGTAGCGAGTACACGGTGCCGGAATATATGATGGAATGGGTCGTAGGGATGTGGCCGAGTGTCGATGGAAAGCCATGGGATGACTGTACGCATATGTACATACCAGTATGTGCTAATCATCACTACATTGCAGTGAAAATCGTATTCGTCGACTCCACGATGTATGTGTACGACCCCGATCATTCATGCCTGACACAAGGCCAGCTCGAGTAAAATCTAGAGTCGGTGTCTGTGATCATTCCCATGATGGCTAGACGAGCGAATATCACTGTACAGGATAGATTGGCCACCGTGCGGAACACGACGACGGCGAGGTAGCAAATATCGTAAGTGTTTGTAATTTTCTTTTTGTCATTTACACCTTAGGTTCTAACTAATTTTCGATGTGCTAATACAATATTATTTAATTGTAGGGGTGATTGCGGCATGTTCGTCATCAAGTATATAGAATTTTTGAGTGTGGCACATAAGGTTGATGCAATCAACCAGGCATGGATACAAAATTGGAGAAATAAACTAGCATGTGATTTATTTGAATTTAATGGGGATCCGTAAATAATTGTACATATTTTTACATTTATTTAAACATTGTACAGTCCATTCATTTATTTGTAATTACGAAAGAATTGTAAAATGTTGATTATTTATGTAATATTTAAATATTTATTTTACAATGCAGCCTACCGTATGATGCAGTGTCTAGAAAAAGTTTCGATTTCAAATAATTAACATAAATAATATGCATAACAAATGAATGTAATGAATGAAATGTTTGAAAAAATACTAAATCTAATAATTCACATAAATAATATGCATAAATAATTAACGTCAATGTTATAAATAATTACATTGCCAGTAGTTATTAAAATTACACATCCGTTACATTGTCATGTAGAGGAATCTGACTTGTACAATATCTTCTAGTATGCCCTGTTGCATCGCACCTACCGCACTTACGAGGCTGGGGAAACTCTCCGATAGATGGTATTCTAGACGTACGTGTACGTCCAGGAGTACTTGGTCCAACCGCTGGTGGCAACAAGTTATTCAGTGGGAGAATGTGGTCGGGCACTTCCCATTCGACTTCATTT